GCAATGACTTACGAGTATCCTAATACTAATTTATAATAGCTATGAACAAGAACTAGTCATCAAAGCCCATGTATTCAAATATGTATGCTCAGGCATACTATCGGAAAAATGTACCAACAACCAATAGAGACCAATAGCATACCAATTAAAGAAGAGGGTACCAGTGGAATACAACTATGATGTACATGACAAAGAACTATTAGCGATAGTTCAAGCTATCAAGGAATAGAGACAATATATCTACGATACTAGGACAATCGTCCTAGTGTTAATAGACTACAAGACCTTAGTACCTTTAATAAAAGATAAGGTAGTAAACAATCAGCAATTGAGATGGATGGAACAAGTAAGTCAGTTCAAATTCCAAATCCAATACTGACCAATGAAGGAAGGGGGGAAGCTGGGCTCCCTTATAAGAATATCAAGGGACTAATAACAAGATGTCCATGATAAATGAAAAATGAGAAAGATCCAAAAGTTATTACTGATAGACTAATGTTTCGGACTAAGCTAATTCAAGGCATAAAACCTATCGAATTTACCTTGAATGTAGAAAACACGATATTCAAGGAGAAGAAAAGAGACAAGACAATCAAGACGATAGGAAAAGCATTGAAAGAAGAAAAGAAGAAGATGAAAGGGGTAGTACTGGGTTTATGCCAGTAGAATATCAATAATATTTGGTACAATGGAAGACAATATATTCCAATAGAAGAAGAGGTAAGTATGAACATCATACGACAACATGATAATATCCACACTGAGAGACATGACGGGACAATTAAAACCATGGAACTTGTTATAAGATCAATCTATTAGCCAGATCTGTATGATCATATCAAACGATATGTCAAATATTATGACATATATCAGAAAACGAAAATGACTAAACACACACTCTATGGAGTACTGAAATCAATTGAAGTTCCTGGACAACCCTGGAAAACAATTACTATAGATTTCATCATGGACCTACCTTAATTGAAGGAATATAATAGTATTTTGATAATGGTAGATCGCCTAACCAAAAGGAGTCATTTTGTCCCAGTCAAGAAATATGTGACAACCAAGACCTTTATCAGAACATTTATCAAGCAGACATTCTATTTATATGGACTTCCAAAGAACATCATTACGGATCGAGGAACACTGTTCACATTAGAGCTATGGAAGAAAACAACAGTAGAAATAAGAATATATAATCAGCTAAGCACTGCATTTCACCTACAAACTGACAGACAAACAGAACAGGTAAATGCAATACTCTAACAATAGCATACCTACTTGCATATGTCTATTATTAACAAGATAATTAGCTAGAACAATTACCAATGGCCGAGGTTACATACAACAATAGAAAACAAGAAATAATAAGCATAACCCCATTCTTTACAAACTATGGACAATACCAGGAAAATCAGACCTCAAATCATATGACTGGGGGAATTATTTCGAATAAGACAGAGATGAAACAAGTACAGGACCTGTTATGATATGAAAGGGCTTATGTACAGTAATAGTAGAAAGAACATTACGATAAGTATCAAAGGCCTGACCCGAACCTACGGTCGCTCGGCAGAAGTGTTCATGAAACTGGTCTCAGATGACTAAGCTGCCTCATCAAAATGCCACCTTTCAATGAAGTGTAAAGTTGATCGTGACCATTCACCCCATCATGACCGTGACTATTTACAAATCTACACCCAACCAAGCCTTCTTTACCTAATTAATTAATTTATTAATTTCCTGTACTATTTTTACCAATAGTTAAGCGTTCTGGAAATACAAAGTATACCACAAAAAAAAGACTCCCACCTAAAACCACCCAGAGAGATATGAGCCTTGCAGAGAAGGGCATGATAATCACCTTTTGCTACTGCCTCCAGAACATTGCCTTGGTGGCTTAAATTATTAGACGCCCATGGACAACAGTTAAGAGCTTTCTTGTCCGAGCATGTGAACGCCAATCTCTTGAAAATCTCTCTCACTCCAGCCACACCCTTATTTTGAGTGGTCAACAGCATTGCACAATTATACAGGCAGCCAAGTCCAACCGGAAAATGACTAGATCCACCTTCAGGGATCACTATGTACTGGGTGTTTCTCTTGATACTGTAAACTCTTTGTGCTACCCAGAGTGACTAGATATAATTGCCTACTAAATTTGCCTGTATAGTGGACCAGGTACTCAGAGAAGCAAACATTAAAAAATAGATAGCCAAGTCAAGACCTAGGCTAAAGCCTGATCATGTGACTAAGAGGTTGAGATGGGCTACAGCTCATAGGGACTGGACAGCTGAGGATTTTGAAAGGGTGATTTGGAGTGATGAGTGCAGTGTGGAGAAATCCAAGGATCCAAAGCAACAATGAATATTCAGAGAACCTGCAGAAAAGTGGTTGGCTGATTGTGTACACCTAAAGGAGAAGGATAAGGGAATCTTGTTTATGGTTTGGGGGTACTTTTGGGGTAAAAGAAAAGGTCCATTAGTTCCTATTACTCAAACTATCAATAAGACCAAGTAGGTTAGACTTTTGAGAAAATATCTTTTTCCTGTTATTCATCAAATGATTTCCTTTGATATACAACTTGAAGATGTTCTTTTTCAGCAAGATAATGCTCCTGTTCACAAGGTATATAGTATTATGGATTGGTTGGAGAGAAACAGTATTGAGGTTGTGGACCACCCCCCTTATTCCCCTGATTTAAATCCTATTGAGCATGTATCGGTTGAGCTTAAAAAGTGATTGCACCAGCAGTATCCAAGGATTGTAGATACTCCAGGAGGAAAAGAGGCTGTTCTGAGAAGACTTGCACATGTATTACCATTGGTTTGGTAGACAATTCCTGAGGAGTTTTTTGAGAAGTTGTGAAAATGAATGCCTGATAGGGTGGCTGCAGTTTTAGAAGCAAGGAGAGATTATACAAAATATTAGCTAGTTTAATTTATGGCAGGTCAATTGACCGTTGAATGTTGAGAGGTACCAGTAGTTGTTGATCGTGAACTTGAACTCACGCCCACACACACCTGTTGACAACCCCACTGGTACTACCCCACCATATGGCGTAACCACAATTAAACATTGTCTCAGATCACGAACACTTCTGCCGAGTGACTGTACAACTAGGAGATATAGTATGGTTGCTACCAATGCAATATACATACGACAGGACTATCTGAGGAGTTGGACTATAAGAAAATCAGGCCATTTCAGATACTGGAAAGAGTGATTGACTGATCTTATCAACTCAATCTGTATTACTGAATGAGAATTGATAACACATTCCACATCTTACAACTCAAGATATACAATGATAACAAATTTCTCTCACAAACGATACTACCTCCTCCACTGATAGAAGTAGATCGAGCATCCAAGTACAAACTTGATGAAATAAGTAACTCCTAGTTATACTACAGTAACTTTCAATACTGAGTTAAGTGAACTGGTTATTTTCCCAAGAACAACAAAACTTGGTACTATGCTACCAACTTTACTAATGTGTAAGATGCCCTTGAAAACTTCTATCAAAGCTAGCCAGCCAATCCCAGCCTAGGTAATAATCACATTCATCAAGGTGAGGAACATGAAGTCAAGCCCTTACAACCACACAAGGGCTGGGGCGATAGCCCCCTAAGCATGACACCGACATGTCCCGAATATTCCTTCTTGGTGCCAATGGACGAAAAAATAAAGGAACAGGAGGAGGTAGGCAAGAACCACACCATAGGTTAGATGGTAAGCTACCGTGATAAATGCCGCACACACTTTAGCAATAAAGAGGGATCTGGATGCTTCTCGAGAGAATACAAAAAGTATGGTCCGTGCCCAGACTATGCCTTGAAGCCAGGGAGAGAGTACTTTAAGGATATGAGCAAGATTTACAGGGTAAGGGAATTTGCTGCTAGAAACTATATGGAAAGAACAGAAGCAAGAAAGAGTTAGCAGGGAAGGATACCCATGAAAGGCATAAGGCCTTAGAGACATGGCCCAAGCAGTGGGGGGCTGAAAGCTGTGAAGGAGAAATGGAACTGGATGTCGGAAGTCTGCATAGGCAGATCAGAAGACTACAGTAACAACTTAGCAACTATTAGGAATACCGGGATCCAATACCTAGGAATTACCCTAAATAGGGTAATGGCACTCGGAATCAGAATCCCTGGTTTCTAATACCCACCTACAGCCCCCTGGCGTGGCCTGCATATTATCCTATTTATCAATCTCAATTGCATCCACTGACTATAATACCACAGAATTTAAGGTATAGGAATAATATAATATAAATTGCTACTGTTCATCCAACCAGATCCTGTGCACGGGATATAGGAGAGGGGAACATCAGCTAGGTCTGTGGAGTAGAGAGGAGTAAATCTGTTAACTAATCAGAGAGTTACCAGGCTTCATATATGTGACATCTTTGGCATGAGCCATAGGTAACAGGATATTTTCGCACCAAGACTGAGTATCGAATGATAATAAATCTCAACAAGAAGCCAATATATTTGCACCCATCCTACAATAACTAGAGGAGTTTAGAACACTAAGAAATACTACTACAAAAGCCAATAGATTTTACAGAGTGTTACAACCACGTCTAGGAATGCGCCAAGATTGCCGGAATGATTCCCAATATTAGAATAGTGATTCAAACCCTATTACTCAAAGCAATCAAGGGCTGCTGATGGCAGAATTATTTGTTAATTCTGTAAAATTGCTTCCAGTGAATTAGTAGGAAGTACTCCAAAAGATATCTGTTAGTTGGATATAGAGTTATGAAGGTTTTAAAGTCAGGCAACCTAGGAAGATTGCAATTACAACTACCTTCACAGATACAACCCGCAGATGAAACTGACTATTTCATCAATAATGGAGACAATTAGAGCTAACTCAGTTCAACTTCAGAACTAGGCCATAAGTCTAAAAACTCTGATGATCGGATAATTACTATTGGGAACAGTATGAGTCCTAGTTAGCTATATCATAATTACCGAAGAGTATGTGGTGATTTTCATAGTCTCCCAGTATTCGCACCTTTGAAAAATACCTGACGTTGTAAGAGAGGTACATAGTTGTATAATCGATAGATTATACTCCGTGAACACTCAGATGTGGAATATAAATATTGAAGTGCATCCCAAGCTTTTAGATATTATCAAGCAACAGAGAAGAGACCTTAACAATATAATATTGTCTTTACGATTTTACTCTACTTTACCTACATTACTTTAATATTAGTAGTCATAAATGAAACGAGTGTAATTTGAGCCTTCCGAGACAATCTTTATCTACAAAAACAAATCTTAGTTGGTCTATACAGCTCTGAAGTCTATCAGGTTTTCTCTACCTAACAGTAACGCTGAAGCCATAATTTCAGCTTAAGAACAAAAGATCACAGAGTTGTGACAAATAAATGACACTTAATATTAAATGATCTAAGCAGAGAACCTTACTTTGAAGATGGTGAGAGTATGAGCCTACACAACTCAACACATGTTCAGCAGACTCCAGTAATCCCTCCGCATAGCCAAACAGGAATTGCTCAAGCTAGGAGAAAGAGTCTAATAGGATTCAGGCTTGAGGAGGGGGGAGCTAATGTCACATATGTGATAGGTTTTGCACATGACTTAATTATGAGTCACAGGTTTTACTCATATGACTCATTCAAAGTCATATGACTTGTTACGTTATCATTTATTATGTTTCACACATGATTCAACTATGAGTCATGGGATGCGTACCTTGCATATATGCCTTACACATATACCTTGTACATATGATTTGTTATGTTTCACACATGACCTGATTATGAGTCATGAGTTTTATATATAGGATTCATTTATATTATGATTTGTGATGCTTCACACATGACTCAATTATGATTCATGGGTTTTACACATATGACTCACTTGAGTCATATAACTTGTTTACCAGGATTACACATAACTCATATTTATAAGTCATGAGTGTTAGGATTCGCATGAAGAGCACTGTTCAAGAAGGCTTGTATAACCAAGAGGAATAAGCTCTTCATAATTTGTTCTATGTAATTTCCTTACCGTTTACTCTATGAATAACATATCTTTATACTCTTTATTAAAATCATATTTTTTGTGAGCCTAAGCACTATATCACTATATGACTCAATAACAGGTGTCAGTCAAACAAGTAATCGTAATGTAAGAGACTGGGCTTAAGAACTATCGAAGAGAAAGAAAATATATATAGTGGAGAAGATATATATCAAGAAAATATATCGCTCTCTATCACTATACATTAACAAGGATGTAGGAACATTACACCAACTACCTTGTTTTTCCCGTCACCACCAATCCTGTAGTCCCTAAAGCAGAATCCACCCTATCAATTCCATCCTCCCACAACATACCACTTATCTTTATTCTCGCCAATACTCCCCTGCTCCTCACTTTCTCAGGGTCTGGACTATCCCCTTCCACCTTCCTCCTCTTTTCCTTAATACTCTGGGTAAAAACCTGTTTCTCTGATTGCAAATCTCATAGTAGGACCTCCTCTTCATCTGGTGAAGGCAACCTCGGACTCAAACGAGTTCTCTCAACAACCCTCTCCTCCTTAATACTCCTCAATTTCCCCTTCAACATTGCCACATACTCCTCCAGCTGCTTAACATCCCCCTGGAGACACTCAACTGCCCTGCACAACTCCTTGCAAGACATCATATTGCAGTCGGCCTTTAAGTAAAAATCCATTGCACAATGAGCAATGAAGCAATAATGAAAGGTAAGGATCAGAATGTAATTGGTCAGTAGCCTGTATCACAGTTTATAAGACAAGGAATAAATTCAAACGCTGTGGTTGTAATGGTCACGGAGCATGTGTTCAGGTTCTTCATGCCGTGAACTTGTATATACGCGCCCCGATCCTGTATGTTTTGCAAAGAACGGAAAGACCATCAGCCCCGGCGCAGGGCAGCAGTGACGGATCTGCTGCACCGGACCCAAGGACGACAAAGCCGACAAGTGGTGGCTTAGGGCATCATCCGAAAGTCCTCGACATCAAATGGGAGCGCGGCACGAAAAGGTCCGACAGGAGCAGCTTAATCGACCTCTATGTTTCGGTACCCTCTCCGAAACTACTT